TCGTTACCTGGGTCACTCATAATGGCCACAGCATGTGGCCGTTTTGTGATTAGAACAGTCGAAGGACAGAGCAGAGGTAGTTCATGGGGAAACGATGTAAATAGCGAACACAGATATAAATATTGTCAGCGGGTTGAGGCATTCTGCTTTGACTGTCTGCTACAATTCCACGCCCGGCGATGTCCACCATCTACCAACCTCTCGAGGTGCCAAGTCTTTGTAAATGTTTCCTCCCTCCTGTATTTCTTTTACGCACAGTAGCCTATGTGCCATGGCCGACTGGAGGAGATTGGGAAGGCAGTTGGATAAAGACCATCACTGACACGTCTACACCCACCTCTGCAGCAGCAAACAGCTCCGTCAACCTAGGGTGCTTTACGCCTTTATTGCCGCTGCTTGCCACTACATGTCAGCCATGACCGACTGGAGGCGATTGGAATTGTCCTTTGCGTCCGCGTCCAGTAGAGGCATCGCAGCAGACCAAAGTCATGGTTTTGACTTGGCCGAGGGCATCCTCGCGTGTGCATCTTGGTGGTGCCTTCTTTGTGCTCAGTGCAGACGAATAAGGAGTTCGTAGACGGCTGCACTTACGTGCAACATAGCGAAATTATTCACGAAATGCAGTCTTCTCCTCACCTAGATTCATCTGCATGGAAGAGTCAACTTCCTTCTGCCTACCAATGACAATGGTCTCCAATGGCATTTCATCAATCACATGCAGTTAATTTATTGTCTGGTCCAGTCACTGATATGCATCTGAAGGGGCGTCTTAAATTGCCAATCGTTTTCCAGCGTCATTTATGACCTTCTCCAGTGCAATGAGAATGCCTCTGTTGACATTCTCCTCCTCCCCATCCACCGCCGACGTCCACGACTGTGTTTGATGGAAAATTTACGTCTCGTACTACCGCTCCAATGCTCTCTTCCTGCTCACCTACCCCAACTTCCGCTCTCCTTTCCTCCTCTCCCTCCCTCACACACAGCCATCATATCCTCTCATTCACCCATTCCATACAATAAGTCTACCATTTGCTCTCATCTTTCTTCCACACGCAGAGGAGCTCTCGGCTCGTGGAGAGGAGGACAGGTCAGCCGCCGAGAGACAGTTGCTGGTTCACTAGGTCATTCACGGACTTCTCCGATGAGATATAATGCGGTTATCCGACACTCACGCGACTCCCTTTTCGCCACGTCTCCACTCCCTGCCAGTGGACCACAACATCACAAGCTCAGACACCGTACCGAGAGAAACAAACAACTGTCCCTTTTCCCTCCCTCCCTCCCTCCATCCCTCTCCCTTCCCCCTTCTCCCTCCCTCTCTCTTAACCTCGCGATCAGACGAGTTTTGCCAATACTCAAGCTGACGTATCGCATCACCGTTACACGCGTTAAACTGTGCAATTACCACACCACTCCAATGTTGCCCAGTGTTGTCATGACCAGTTCTTACACTTCCTTCAAGCGCCATGCGCAACTCAATGCATCTTGACGTTGGCAGTGGCGACCGAGGGACAGCTTCAGCTTCCCTTCACTCAATGTGATTGTTAATAGTCCAAGTAAGCAAGGTGAGTGATTGCAATTCTACAAACAGAGAACAGGACCACAACTCTGCAGCTTCCGAGGAGCTAAGAAAAGCCTTCCAGTCATGATGGCTTTCCAACGCTGTTTATCCACTACATCGTCAACCAAATCAGACTTCTCAATGGACACTGATTCGCCTTTACATGGGCAAAAGGCGTTTAAAGGAGCTCGGCGAAGTAGATGGCCTGGTGCAGCTTACACAAGGAAGGCTAAACAGTGCCAGCGTCAGACGCCTTTCCAACCGTGTCAAGAGAGTAATCGTCTCGAGGGAAGTAAAATAAATGAAAAGGGTTTCCTTCCTCTTTGAGACATTCATTGAAGGCACGTTGGCAGCAGATCAGTTGATCTCGAGTGAGCTGATAGGAAGCAATGATTGACAATGCAAAGGAAGGCTGGTGATTGTCAAAACTAAAAAAACAACTGCACATTTGTGAGCATACCTTGGAGCTCCTTTTCGCATCGTCCCTTAATCACCTTACAGCTTCAGTGCAAGCAAAAGTAGAGTGGCTAAAAGGGAGGAGAAGACGAAGAAGAAGAAGAAGAAGAAATGATGTGAGTGGTAGTAGATGATGCTGCACTTACTGAGGAGCGAGAGCAGTGGGGATAGAGCTCCGCTGTCAGTGTCGAAGGAAGCAAAGGGAAGGTGAAGAAGTATTGAGAGGGTGCAGTGAGTGTGGGGAAAAATAGAGACGGTGTCTGGGCATCAGGAAGCAGGTGAGAAGTGAAACGAATGCGAAGGGGAATGAAGGAGGGAGAGCGAAGGAGAAGGTTGAGCGAGGCTAGCGAAGGGGCAGAGTGAAGGTCATCCAGCTAATCATCTACACTAGTGATGGGAGAAGTAGGGAGACGATCGGTGGACAAGGCAGTAAATAAATGAATAGAGTGATGGACATAGGAGTGGGTAGTCGGTGGATAGGCGGGCAATGATGGGGAAGGGGAGGTGGTGGGAGAGTCTCGAGTAGGTCATCAACGTCGTCGTCGTCGTCTTCGTCGGCATTACACCTGACGACGCATCCCAGGAGGTAGGTGCAATAACAATCAGCTCAAACGGACGCGGTGCATCTTACCTCACCTCCAACACTCGTCAACCCGGTGTTCTGATCGTGTGGTTGGAGGGTTGTGCAAGAAGTTAGTCGTTGGAATTCGCAACCGACTAATTTAAACAATGACTACTTCCCTTAACTGACCACTCCTTCTCCCTAGCAAATAGTGGTGTTGGAATTTGTTCATGCGACAGTGTGGCGCGAGTTTTGTTCAATGCCGCTGACCCTTCCTCCTCGCCATACTGCCACTGATGCCCTCATTTCGTAGGGCAAGCATCGGTCTGACAAGCATGACCTACTGCAGCTTGTCCAGAGCCAAATTGTGGCAGCCTTGAAGAGGTGAATTGAGTGGAAGACACCTCGAAGGCTCGCAATTATGGCCCTCATTCCATTTATAGCATCCGGACAAGTTGGTTGATGTCCTCCTCATGGTTGGGCAAGGTTAGGTGGTACAGTCTATCTCCTGCCACAGGGAGATGACGATTGGTTTGAGACAGGCGACAGCCCTCAACATTTCCAATGCGTTGAGAGCTGAGAACGCAGTGCGGTAGGATAGGCGACAGCGTGGATTTGCTGACAGCGTCTGCGAGTAAGGTGGCATTGTTGACACTGTCGACGATTGGGAGCGGTTCGTGAGGGCATGTGAAAGGTTGCAAGGAGGGCGTAGGATTGGCGGTCATTTGTATGAGCTAAGAATGCACTAGCTCCATTGATTTAAGGCTGTTGCGGAAGGAGGATGAGTAAAGAATCAGTGGGGTTGGACGAACGCATCACCTCGGAATGTGACAGTCGCAATGCCTGTGGCGTACGCACGTGCTGCGTTGGGTGGGCTGTCGACTGGGGCTTCTTCAGTGACAGGCTACCGGCGATGTGCGTCAAGGCATCGTCGATGTGATCGCTTGTGTGGAGAGATTGTACTCCCACCCAAGGGTCTGACCTTTGGCGTATACTGCTAACAGCACCCCACTTCTGCTAAAGTGGTGTTCCTTATGGCAGGAAGCAAGGAGTGGCGACCAACACAACAGCTTTGCCATAGGACAGTATCGAGGACAGCACCCAGATGGGCGTGCTCTCATTTGAAGTGCTACACCAATGCTCCTACCTTTCGCTAGACTTCATGCTACGCATCGCCTTAATCCTGTCACTTCCCCCATTCACTGAGAAGGTAGTTGCAAATTTGCCGAAACTCGCTCCACCTTACCTCCCTTGGAATCTACTATCAACCATCAAAAAGTCCCCCCTCACACAGCACGATTTAACAACCAGACGGTGGAACTGGCTAACGAGTGGGTAAAACGTGTGCACTTCTGACAACTCATGTGATTGTAGGTGGTAGGTTTAGATGGACCTTCACGCTGACAATCCACAGTCCCATAACTGTCATTCCTTCTCACTTCTTTCTTCTTCTTCTTCTTTCCACTCACCCATGTGCGCTTTCACCTCCCCTTCCATAGTTATTGGCATTCATGTGTGGAGCAGAGCGGTGGAGTTTCAGAGAGTGGCAATGCAGTGGGTTGGGGCATCACTTGAACTAAGGCATTAGAGCAGGTGAGGGGCGTGTGGAGTGAGACGTTGGCAGGGTTGGGAGGGGGTACGAGGAGTCAGAACGAAGGAGAGGAGCGTACAATCAATTCTATTCGGTGAAGTGGTGGTGTGATGGAGACTCTAATAGAAAGGCGAGCGTTAGCACCTGGGTATCAGGATGTTAAATGGCTCATCAAGGCTGCTACACTGTTGAGGTGACTGCCACAAATGAAATCACAGACTAGAGTGGACTTCATCAGCTGAAGTGGTGGGTTGAAAAGGCACAATGAGACACTTCACTGATTTGCGGTGTGGGTGTTTGAACCCGAGGGCATAAAGATGTAAACACTTTGCTGACACATGAATTGGGGCTCACCACAATCCACGACTTTACTTAGCCTTCCCTCAGACCTCGTCATAGCAATCACTTTCACACGGGCAACAGATGGTCCCAACGATGGCAAATGCTTGGCGTACCAATGTGCCTTTTCCAAGTGGCAGCGGTGGAATGGGAGGTTAGAGGTGCTCGCAGTCAGGGCGGGTATCAACTTTCAGTCAAGGGTCAAAAAGTCGTCACTGCAACGTTAGACTAGTGGATGCGCTAGTAAACTTTAACGAGGACTCACCTGCCATGCATTTAATTCGGGCGCGGAACAAAAGCACTTGCACCGATGCAGCATCACCTCAACGTTTGACAATGTACTTCTCAGGGCACAATCAAGTGGCTGCAAATTATAAAGGTGGAGAGGCGAGTATCAGCAAATAGAAGCATAACGACATTAAGACACCCATGAGGTGTACGAAAACACGTAACCGCTAAGGTATTAACTCCAACAACACTGCCTCCATACACTTCTTCCGGAAGTATTAGTAGCAATAACGAAGCACCGGTGTCGTGAGGCGAATGCAGCCCGAAACAGAGCAGAAGTTGCAAGAAACAAGCAGGTGTCAGCATAGCAGTGTTGGGTAGAGAGTGCTGCGGAGACAAGGAGTAGGAATTTTTAGTGTTTTGTGCGAACGATTCACTCCCGCAGAGAGAGGGCAGGATAAGGCGTATGTAACCGCAGTAACACAATGCACATGGAGTTAGTGGAGAGCCTCACAAGCCGGACTGGAAGCACACCAGCCTTCTTAAACAAAGCTCGACATGTTGGTGTCAGCACCGATGGGTCTGCAACCTGCTAGAAAGGAAACATTTTCTGTGGTCTGGCTCGTAACCACAACACACAGCCTCTACTTTTGCCCCAAAATAGCAGTTACTTTTCGGTTTCAACGCAGACCTCCAACCACAAACCATATTTTGAACGGCAAACGGCAACCAATCAGGGACCTCCTTCTACAGTCACTGCATCAACTCTCGAGTAGTACGAGTGGCAGTGCAATACCAACACCAATTTGCAGGAATTTGGTTGCAAAATGCAAGTTGTCAGTAAGCAAGCGCAATGCGTCAAGAGTAATTACTTTAAATAATTAGTTTCGTGATGTCATATGAAATCGTGTAATGAAATGGCAACACCTCCTTTAGTCCGTACATTAGTCGGGCAGTATGAAGTGCATGCCG